TTTATGAGGTATGGAACCATTATTTGAGCACTCTTGTATGCAGGTGCATCCCAACACTTGTCGGTTGCTGGAGTCTCACACTGTTGAAAGAAAAAAAGGGGTTTTCTGAGTTGTTATCTGATTTTATATTATTGGAGCCCATACGACATCCTGAGACAGCCCATATGACATCCTGAGACATTTTTGCTCTGTCTTTATATGCAGACCATTACACTTGTCTTCTTGTGGGGTTCCTTGAAGTAGAACGAGCTGCTTTTTAAGAAAGGGTTTGAGTGGTTCTCTGCTTATGATTTAACTTCTTACATGAGCCATTATTTGAGTAATGTTTTCTTTTAGAGTTTGATGCATCTTGTGTATTGGTGAAGAGTTTATAAGATCTGGTACAATTGTTGGAGCAATATTCTATGCAGATGCAATTTAACTAGCATGTGTATGAAGTCTTACTTTGTTTAAGGGGAGCAGGGGGTCTTTTATATGATCTTTTTTATTCATACCGTCTGTATAATGTGGGGCACATTGTCTGAGCTATCTTTCTGCCTGCAGGCGTATCCTAACTCGTGTCTATATATGGAGGTCTCACTTTCTCGAACGAGTTTTAAGAAGGGGTTTGAGTAGCTTTTGGCTTATGATTTTGTTTCTTATTTCTTGGTATTTATGAGGTATGGAACCATTATTTGAGCACTCTTTTATATGCATTCCAACGCTTGTCAGTTGCTGGAGTCTCACATTGTGGAAAGAAAAAAAGGGGTTTTTTGAGTTATTATCTGATTTTATATTATTGGAGCCCATATGACATCCTGAGACATTTTTGCTCTGTCTTTATATGCAGACCATTACACTTGTCTTCTTGTGGGGTTCCTTGAAGTAGAACGAGCTGCTTTTTAAGAAAGGGTTTGAGTGGTTCTCTGCTTATGATTTAACTTCTTACATGAGCCATTATTTGAGTAATGTTTTCTTTTAGAGTTTGATGCATCTTGTGTATTGGTGAAGAGTTTATAAGATCTGGTACAATTGTTGGAGCAATATTCTATGCAGATGCCATTTAACTCGCATGTGTATGAAGTCTTTCTTTGTTTAAGGAGAGCTGGGGTTCTTTTATATGATCTTTTTTATTCGTACCGTCTGTATAATGTGGGGCACATTGTCTGAGCTATCTTTCTGCCTGCAGGCGTATCCTAACTCGTGTCTATATATGGAGGTCTCACTTTCTCGGACGAGTTTTAAGAAGGGGTTTGAGTAATTTTTGGCTTATGATTTTTTTCTTATTTCTTGGTGTTTATGAGGTATGGAACCATTATTTGAGCACTCTTTTATATGCATTCCAACGCTTGTCAGTTGCTGGAGTCTCACATTGTGGAAAGAAAAAAAGGGGTTTTTTGAGTTATTATCTGATTTTATATTATTGGAGCCCGTATGACATCCTGAGACATTTTTTGCTCAATGTCTTTATATGCAGACCATTACACTTGTCTTCTTGTGGGGTCTGTCTGATTCCTTGAAGTAGAACAAGCTGCTCTTAAGAAAGGGTTTGAGTGGTTCTCTGTTTATGATTTAGCTTCTTACATGAGCCATTATTTGAATAATGTTTTCTTTTAGAGTGATGCATCTTGTGTATTGATGAAGAGTTTATAAGATCTGGTACCATTGTTGGAGCAATATTCTTTGCAGATGCAATTTAACTCGCATGTGTATGAAGTCTTACTTTGTTTAAGGAGAGCAGGGGGTCTTTTATCTGATCTTTTTTATTCGTACCGTCAGTATAATGTGGGGCACGTTGTCTGAGCTATATTTCTGCCTGCAGGCGTATCCTAACTCGTGTCTATATATGGAGGTCTCACTTTCTCGAACGAGTTTGAAGAAGGGGTTTGAGTAGTTTTGGCTTATGATTTTGTTTCTTATTTCTTGGTATTTATGAGGTATGGAACCATTATTTGAGCACTCTTTTATGCAGATGCATCCCAACACTTGTTGGTCGCTGGAGTCTCACTGTTGAAAGAAAAAAAGGGGTTTTCTGAGTTGTTATCTGATTTTATATTATTGGAGCCCGTATGACATCCTGAGACATTTTTTGCTCCATGTCTTTATATGCAGACCATTACACTTGTCTTCTTGTGGGGTCTGATTCCTTGAAGTAGAACGAGCTGCTTTTAAGAAAGGGTTTGAGTGGTTCTCTGTTTATGATTTAACTTCTTACATGAGCCATTATTTGAGTAATGTTTTCTTTTAGAGTTTGATGCATCTTGTGTATTAGTGAAGAGTTTATAAGATCTGGTACAATTGTTGGAGCAATATTCTATGCAGATGCAATTTAACTCGCATGTGTATTAAGTCTTACTTTGTTTAAGGAGAGCAGGGGTGCTTCTATATGCAGACACATCCTAACTCGTCTTATACATGGAGTCCAACATTGTTGACACAGAAGAGCTTCTTCCAAGAGGCGGTTTCTTGTCTTATTATCTATTTTCTAGTCTGGAGATTGTATATGATCTTGGGCCATGATTTGCACCATTACTTTCCATTCTATGCAGATCATCTCGTCTGTATATGGGGTCCAACTTTGTTGAAGGAAATCGCTTTTAAGAGGGAGTTGAGTATTATAGCCTTATGATTTATTTTCTTCTTGGGTTGATGAGATTCGACACTTTCATTTGGCATTCTTTTGTGCAGATGTATCGTAGCTCTGCTTTGTTTCTGGATCTTTTTCCACAGATGTTGGGCTTTGTTGATTTTTGTCTTGTGCTTTAATGTCTCAGTTTTTAAGGAGTTATGAGATGCATCCTTGTTCTTGTGTGTGAACCAGTGGAACTTAATTCATGACTGGACTAATTTCTTAAGGAGGGTATGATGCGTCTGATCTTTGTTGTGGCTCTCTTTTTCGAGGAGGGTTTTAGGAGTTCAATTTCAAGTTAATGTTAATGGCGAAACCTCAGGAACAAGTGTCATGCTGAGTTTTGTTTTCCTTTTATTCAATTCTGTATGCTGAACCTTTGGGCAATTCTTCAGTCATTGTCTCATGCAGATGCTCGTTAAGTCTTACTTGAGTTACGTTGATGAGGATGATTTTTTGAGTGACAATCAGAACTTGTGGCACGGCGCCTGGTTTTTCATCCACTGCCTTCTTGTTTTCTTGTTACCTACATTTCTTTTCAACTGGTGATATGTTATGATGTTGTCAATGTTTTTTGCTGTAGTTCATGGATTTTCCTGTGCGGAAGTTTTGTAGCTCGGAGTCTTACTTGGATCTCCGTTGATTCCTTGAGAAACAGACTCCACATTTGGTTTCTTATTCATGGTCTTATTTCATAGGGTCTATCCTTCCTGGCTTGATAGTTCAACATATTCTTATGGGTGATGGGTTCCTATTTTTTTATTTAACTTAATATTCTTCTCTCAAAATTTACTTTATTTCTGTTTTTCAAAAGATTAACTTATTAAAGATTTTGAATTTTGTGTAGGGGCCTCAAGATCCTTAATTAATTCACACATTTTAAGGTTCGGCAGATGCTTGTCTTTATTGGTATTGCTGTTTTGGTCTGTTTAAATGTCTGTTTTGTCTGGTTGAAGGTGGATTCAATGCAGTCTGTTCAGCTTTGTGCAATACTTTGGCCATTCAGGGTTGGATATTTGTTCGTGCTTCTCTCTTTTTTCCCCTCTTTGACCTTTTCAGAAGGGCACTTGTTAAGATATTTGGTCGTTCATTTGATATTTTATTTCTGAGTGTATATGATCTGGCACCACCATTTGATCTCATGCAATGTGTTTGCAGTTGCAACCTAACTTGTCTTTTACTGGAGTCGCACTTTGTCAGAACCTAGAACATCTCTTTTTAGGGGTGGTTTTATGTTCCTTTGCTTGCGATTTAGTTTTTTGTAGACCATAAATGTGGCATTTTTGAGCAAATGTATTATGCAAATTCATTTCGCATCTTTTTTACTTGATTACATATTAATGGAATGGGTAATCAAGCAAACTAACGGAATCATGGATTTGGGCATGTGCGACAATCAAGAGGAATGGGAGTTGCCTTTGTAGAGTGTACGTCTTTCCTTTTGGTCTTGTCTTCATTGGAATGTGGACTGCTTTTAGTAGTGTCCTGTGCTTCTTGGCTGACCATTCTTCTTGGATATTGGGTCTGTATATTGTCAGCTTGCTCTTGAGGCCTGGGAGAATGGGGATGCTTTTAAGAGGTGTCTGGTACTTCCTGGCGTATGGTCTATTTTTGTTAGATTTTGTCAGATATGATTTGAGCAAAAAGTTTTGTGCAGCAACATTTGTCTCTTAGGAGGGAGTGGGAATGTGGTATGCAGATTGACGTCTTTGGATGCAGTGAAGTATCATTGGACCGTAGAGCAGCACTTGCTGACACATAAACTGAGTATGACTTTGATCTTCGTTGATGGAACTGTTTTGTGATGGGTCGTGAGATTTGATTTTGTCTTTTACATAGTATCTTTTTTCCAATATGTTTCGAAGTTTTATTCAATGATCTCGTTTTAGCTGAGGTTCACTGATGTTCAGGTTGATCTGATTGATTTGGCAGCTGAAATGGATAGGATGACTTGTTTTCATTGTCTTTGGATTTCAGCATTTCCGATCTTAATTAGCTCACTTCTATGTCTTGCTCGATTTTTCCAGACTATGGGCTGAGGGTTGTTTCTTTCCTTTGATTTAATTGCTTCTCTCAAAGTCTCTTTTCGTATATATATATTTTTCTCAAGTACAGATGCTAATACTTCCTTTTCTGCTTTTATAGTGTTGGAGGTGGTGGTTTGTGGTCTGCTAAAGGGTTTGGCTTTTGTCTTAAACATAGAGACCTGTTGGCATCTTTCGGTGTGAGTGCCTGGTTTGCTTTTGCTGGTTGTTTTGTTGTGGCATGTTGCTTTTTCATTCTGGCAGGCTGAAGTTGCTCAAGTTCGTGATGGATCAGTATGTTGGATAATTGAAATTTCCGTGCAGAGTAGTCCATTGTAGAAGGAAGGGTTTTTAAGCTTGAAGTGTGCTGATCCGTTTAGGTTACACATGGTGTATGCTTTTGTGTATCATTTGATTTGTTAGTTTCATCAGCTGATAGTCAATACTTTTTTCTATAACTGTTCCTTTATATAGATTTTGTGTTCATTTGAGTGGCTTGATAGGATCTGCCGTTCTTTTCTTCACTTGGTGCTTCTCATGCATAGTCCAACTTATTGAACAATGCATTGTGACACTGTTTCTATGATCAATTTGACATTTTAAAAGGATTTGAGTATTAATTATATTGTTCATTGTTTCTTTTATTGGTTCAATAATGCTGTGGTTGAGCGTTATTCCCAGCTGGTTGCTAATCCAAAAATGTGAATGTGAGTCGTGCTTTAATGCATGCATAGCTTATTTTGGATCTTGCAAAAACCTACAATATAACAATGAACAAATATGCTTTAGCTGGATTTTAAGCTCGTGAAGTGTGGAAGGGATGAGGTCCTCTGAGAGATTGCACTAAATGTGATACTTATCTCTAATTTATGACTAAGTAATTAACTTACAAAGAGAACATGTAATGTATTGAAAGAATATAGCCCTGGTTTGTCATTGTGGAATGAGCCCTTTACAAAAATTAACTAACATTTCTCGAGTAGTTTTTCTTTTTGGATATTTGAAGTATATGTGTTATATGAGTTTTTGAAGTACTTTGTACATTTGAACTATGACATTGTTTTGTTGTTTACTGTTTATCAATTGTGTAATGTCAACTTCTTGGTAGCTTTTTCTCTTTTAGATTTGTTTGGCTTTTAGTATGATGGTTATGTTATGTGCATTGCTTTGTCTTTAGCTGCTGTCTGTTGTGTGTATTTGTGTTTAGTTAGTTAGGTTTAAAGGGATGTAGCTCAAAATGGTAGAGCTCTCAGCTTGTAACCTGTATGAACAAGTTACAACACTTACGAGAAGATCAAGGTTCAAATCCTTGCGTCCCTGCACCCCAACATATTTGATAGTTTTTGACCTGCATGTCGATGGACTCGGAGAATCTAAACCCTTGCCTCTCTATCTGTGGTGCGGATGCTGTCGGTAGCTGACTAAAATGGTGGTTTGGATTATCTGTGGTCTTGGGAACCTGAATTGGCTGATGTGGTAATGCCCCACCACCAATTTTTGATGTGCAACAATTCATATTCCATTGACTTAAAATTATTAGGACCGCTCTATCTCTCACGGGGAAGCTGATTTACCTTATTTTTTCGGGGTTGCAGGGAAGCTGAATTTACCACCTTATTTTTTCGGGTTACATATATTACATTTTATCTTTTATTCCCTTTAGTGACTTGTGATTGTTTATTTTATCGGTTGGAGCATATGTTGGAAGCACCCGAAAAGAGTATAAAGATAGCAACTAATCTATTTGAAACCCAAATGTAAGAATAATCTTAAAAAAGATCCGCAGTCTGAACCAAACATTAAAACAAAAGAAATAAAAAAAGAAGTAGAGGAATCTTGGACACCTCTTCAACCACCAAAACAGCAGTGCCAGCGACTGAAATCAGCAGCATGCGGCTCAGCAAATGTGGATATAAAACAGAAAAACAAAATAAATATGTGCAAAAAAATAATAGAGAAACAAAGTACACCTGGGCTAAGCCAATAACAAGCCCAATACACTAGAAACCAAATGAAAGAAAATTAAGAACGAAAAAACTACTTCCTGTGCCAAAGAAATAACATGGCAGTGGAAAGCCAACAATAGGGGCGTCCGATCGATTTAATATGTAATTACCGAACCGTATATTATTTGGTTTGATTTTAATCAAGAAAAAGAAATGGTTTAAAAATTGAATCGAACCGTATATTATTTGGTTTTGAGTTTTTGTAAACCGACATAAATCAAACCAAATTGCGTACTTATATATTTATTTATTTATATTTAATTTTACATGTAACAACTCAGACCTTAATTAATATTTAATTAATAATTTAATAGAGGAAAAGACAATTATACCCTTAGAATATTTTATTAGGTTTTAAGTTGACTTTTTGACAAGGAAGGAATTTTGGAAATCCACTTGTACCGTTGCGTAGAGCACGACAAAACGAGTTCGTAGACACGTAGTGGACTCAAATCGGACTTGTAATGAAGAAATTACGAGAAAAATACGTAAAAAAGGCATAATTGAAATTTTGGAAAAAGTCAGATTTTTTTAAAAAAACCAGATTTCTTCTCTCTCTCCTCACTCTCTCTCTCTCCCCGCGTCTCTTCCCTCTCTCCCCCGACTGTGCTCCAGCCGACCACCACCAAGCCTCTCAACCACCACGCACGCCGGACAGGGCAAGAATGAGCCGGCGCCACCTCCCCCAGCCGTTCGACGCCTTCCCCGACCGTCAGCAGCACGGGTCTCGCCGGAAAACCATGGTTTTCGGCCAGATTTTCTCCGAATTTCCAAACCCTCGTTCTCCTTCCTCCGGCCACCAAATCGGACGAATTAGGTATGGTTTTTCATGTTCTAGCTGATGGTTGGGTAGGTTTTGAAAGATTTTGAGGTTTGATAGGTTAATTGTCGAGTTAAGTTTCTGCCGAGCTTAGGATGCCGGAATCGGTCATTCCGGTCACTTTTTGGTCATAGTCCAAGAACAAAAGTGATTCCAAATTAGGTGTTTTACCTAGACTAGGAGTTTGGGCCGGCGGTTTGGAGATTTTCTAGCCGCCGGAATTTACTATGCACACCCACACGCTGCCAGCGCGTGGGAGTGCGTGGACCAGGTAACATGAGTCACTCTTTGTCCTAGAATAATCCTCGTGTCCTCACGAGCTCGTAGGATTTTGCGGATCTCAATTCGGATAACGTTTGAACCCCGAACGGATCTCGCATAGTGTGCAATTTCCGGGTTCAATACGTTCGGACCGTTGGATTATAGCCAAACTGGAGTATGTTGATCTAGGTATTTTAAGGATCGTGTAGGATTAAACGGATCATAAATCGAAGTCCCGGATGCTTCGAAAAAAACGTTTATGCATTTTAATTTCATTATTTGATCTTGAATAAGTTTTACTGAATACAGCTTTCCTAGCATGACTTGATAGATTTAAATATTTCTGTTTATTTTATGTGCTGCCTAGTGGAACATTTAAAAAGGGATTTGGAAAGTCAGAACTAAGGTATTATCAGATTAAATGGCAGCAGGATTTAAGGAATAGTTTTATAAGTAGTTTTATAAACTTTAATCTTTTTCAGAATTATATATATATACATTTAGTTTAAGCCACCATAGGTACCCAAGGTTGCCTTCAGTATAATAAATGTTGCCTCGGAAATAAAGTTGCCTTCGGAATAAAACTATGTTGCCTTCGGTATTATTGATGTCGACGGACATCAAGTTGCCTTCGGGTAGGTCAGCATGCTTGACACAGCCCCACGAGTCTCGGGGACGCTCGAACCGTGTGGTGCTAGGATTGCGGATCAGGCCGACCAAGTGTCCCCTGAATTCTGCTAGGATTGCGGCTCGGGTGACCTTGTGTTTCCCGAGGCTGCTAGGATGTGTCACTCCGGTGGCACAAGGATGGAATTTGTTTGTACCATATCTGATCCTCTACTCATACAACGACATGTGGATCATGGGGACTCACCCAAGTACCCAAGGCCTTGAACAATCGGTATCGGCTACCGATGGCATTGTCTCAAAGCTACCAACGGCTGCTACAGGCCCATCCCGTCTACAATCGGTGCCCCCTACCGATTCTGCACAATCAACCTCGAAGCACCCGCCCGAAATATCTAAGGACTCGTGTCAACCTCACAGGGCCCTCCCACGAGTCCCACATCGAAAGAAAGTACTAAGAGCATACAAAATGCCCTCTATAAATACACCCCTTCACCACAGTACAGGGGTAAGACTTTTCAGCTTGACTTATATACTGATATATTGTCAACAACAAGAGCTCTTAGAAACCAAACTTACTTCGGCATCGGAGGGTCTTAGGCTGGTTCCACACCGGTTCCATAGACCTTACGAGTCTCGACTTCTTTCTATTCAGGATCAGCATCCAAGGACAGGAAGAATCGGCATCCAACGCTCAATCGATCTCTCGATCGTCCATCTCGCTTGTAAGTTGCACTCATTTCTATCTGTTCAGTTTTAGTGCAACCAGGGCGTAATTTTAAGGTGAAAGCTATCTAATCCGAACTATTTCCACCCCTAGCCAACAATACCAACATCCAACAACGAACCTACTAGTAACCACAAGCAAACTCATATCCAAAATTGACAAAAATCAACAACAAAATCGATGATAGAGGTAAAGAGAAGTAGGGAGAAAAACAAATTGATGAAATGCTTGAGTGATGAAATCGACTTGTGCATCTTTCATAAACATATTGATGGAATACTTGATTAAATTAACTAAATGTAATTATGAAATAAAAGATTAACTAAACGTAATTATGAAATAAAATCAAGAAGAAGAAATTGAACTTGTACTTGAGCTAAACTATATGATCAAAAAAGTGCAACATGTCTAAATGTTAACTACCCAACTTATGGATCAATGTTACATCAACGTTCAAATCTCAATTCAAAATATTGAAGTCAATATTTTTTTTGTAATTATGAAGACATAATGAAGTAGTTGTGATTGCAAAAATGGGTTGACTCAGTTGGTTATGACAGTGAGCTTCCCTTTGCACTCATGTTCGAATTTTCTCTTTATAAATTATATTAGCTTAGATCATCGTTTCTATTAAAGAAACTAATGATCTTGGGCTTGATGAACCTAATGATCTTGGGCCAAGCACTCATGGCTATTGGGCTTGATGAAACTAATGATCTTGGGCCAAGCACAGGGTGTCGACTAGCGCAAAGAATATTAAACAGCCTAAGTCCTTCTGTTCCTTTTAGCCCAGCCCAGTGTTACACTGCCACTTGCTTCGAGAATTATTTATTTTATGTTATTTGTTTTAATTTTTTCATCCAAAACTTTAACTTTTACGGCATGTTTACTAATCCGGAATTGGAATTCTCATCCGGAATTGAATTCCGCCTATGGAGAATTCCTGCGTTTACTTCACATTAAGGAATTGAAAAGTAAGCGGGGCCCACACAAAATTAGGAATTGAATTCCTGATTTTGGAGGAATTCAATTCCGGAATTGGAGGTGGTATTCTAATTCCTGGAGAATTCACCCATTAGGAATTCATCTTTTTTACCCATTATATCCTCACACAATTTTCAAAATTCCAAATATGCCATCTACTTTAACCAAAAAATGTGGACATTTTAGTAATTAGTACCACTCTTACCCCAATTCCATATGATTTAGTAAACAACTTCAATAGGAATTCGGAATCTAACTCCCCTCAATCCATATGGTTTAGTAAACAACTTCATTAGGAATCCGGCAATCTAATTCTCCTCAATCCAACTCCTCCTCAATTCAATTCATCCTCAATTCAATTCCCCCTAATTCAATTCCGGATTAGTAAACATGCCATTATAGGAATCCTGCTCTCACAAGGTCTTGACACGTGGCAGTTTCCCTTTTTATTTTATTTGTTCTAATTTTTTCTATCCGAATGTGTATAGGAATCCTGGTGCAACACGAATCGCGAGTCTTCACCCAAAAAAACACGTGGCAGCTTCTATTTTTTTTATTTTTTTCCAACCAAAAGGAATCCGGATCCAACAAGGCGTACGCGTCCTCACCACCACCACTAATATAGAAACTAATAAAATAAGAAAAGGGAATGTAGTGTTGATTTCAAGTCATTACAACCGACTAAGAGAAACCGCGTCGACAGCGTATCCGTTACGACTTACACATCCACCGTCCATTATTTTCATCACCACTTAATCTTGGCCGTTCATCTCGATCCCCTTCCGTTATAAATACCCTTCAGACATTCTCACAGTTCACCTTACTTCACCGGTCCCTGTACGCTAGGTGGTGGCGATCAGGTTTCGCTTTTGTGTAGATTATCGGATTTGTTGTTTCGCTTCTTCTGTTTGGGTTTGATTCTATGCTTTCGATATCGATATCGATGGATTAAGTTTTGTTATCGCTATGCTTTCGGGTTTGGTGATGGATTTTGCTAACCGATTAAAAGTTGGATCTAATGACCTTCGAAGGTTGTGACGATATAAAGAACCAGAGATTGTGTGTATCTTTGCAGGCGTGTTTTATTGGTTCAGATGAGACCCAAACGTCATCGTGGATCATGGTGAAGTAGGTGTTTGGATTTGTATCTTCTCGTTGTTTTGTATAGATATAATTTGTTGGTTTGAGGCTGAAGCTCGTCTTTATTGATATGCTTATGAGTTTTGATTGGGATGATGAATGCCAGGGCATCGTGTATTCAGTACCTAGTTCTGCTTGCGTTTTGATTTCGACGAAAACCTCATAGATTTACCTTCTATGGGAGATCTTTCGTTTACTTCCTTTGATTTTGTTCTGAAGTTTAGAATATAATGATTTGGAAATTTCCCTCGTTTTTTATCAATCAAATAAGCGGAGCTTTGCTGTTATTTTTCAGGCCTCGTTTGCGGTGTTTGACACACGAGGGTTAGATGTTTGGTTAGCTGATAACTCCATAGGTTCTTATGGGATCTGATTGGATGGCTATGAGGTTGTATTTTTTTTTACTGTTTTGCGGATGCAATGGAATGTTGAATTTCAAAATTGTCTATCCGGATCTATTGATTTGCAGGAGATATAGTAATAGGATTCCATTTCAAAACCAATGAAATTCAAAATTGTCAAAATGCGCGTCTTTATATATCTTTGAAGTCCCTGAAATTTGTAAGTAACATCATGTTTATGTCCTTTTCTCTATAATCATGCCAAACCTTCTGCTCTTTTATTGACAGATACTAAATCCAGAATTCGTGCGGTACATTGTTAACCTTCTTAGTTCGTAGCCTTTATTTTCGATGTGTTTCTTGTTTTTTTGGGTATGTTGTAATCGGGTTTTTATGTCCTCAATGCTGGCTTTCTATTGATTTTCTCAGTGGGAATGGAAGGGTCTATTTTAATTTTTTCTTATCTCAAAGATATAGTAATTGTTTTTTTTCAGAGATAAAATTATTCAATGTTTTGATTACAGACCCCGAGTATTTCGCACTTACCTCTTTATTGCCATGTATTTGATCAGTATATTTTGCCTTATGGTCTTCAAGCTATTAATAATTACAACCGAAAGTGGTTTGGCGCTTACCCTTTACGTTATGTTTTTATTTTTTAAAAGTTTATTCAATGGTTTTCGTTCGTTGCATATATTTGGGCTTCGAATTTGTATAGCAGTGTGGTTAGGTATTGTCTTGATGATTCACTAATTTTGTGATTAAAGTGCTTATGGAGACTAAGTTGGATGGAGCTAAAAGTTTATGACACTGTTATGGGGAGCTATTCTAGTTTGGTTAACATGTTAAATCTTTTTCTTTTAATTTTTTAATTTTTTTTATACAAGTCTCTCTCTCTCTTTCACCCCAAAATTAATATTAGTTACTATGTATTTCTCAGGTTTCTTATGTTGGTTTCGAATTGGCATGCTACCTAAGGGGGGTTTTAATGTTGTTGCCTTTCGTTTCCCATTTAAATTTTTTATTAAATTTGGTACTGATATTTTAGCAATATCTCATGTAGATGCAACCTAATTTTTGTCTTAGGGACAAAGTTTCACCAGGGGAAAACGGTTTGAGAGCCCAAGGCCACTGGTTTTGTTTGTTCCCCTTCGTTGGTTTCTTATTTTTGTTAGTTGTTCAATATCGTGAATTCTGTGGTCTGTCTTTCCGTTGGTGTCGTGCTTTGGTCCACATGATGTAGTGCTTATCAGGATTTTGAGCAGTTCCTGGGGATACCTTGTTTGGTGATATTTTTTTTGCAGGAATTTGGCTTTAATGCCACAGTTAATAAAGGAATTTGAAATGGGTTATTAGGAGAACATGTTAAATCCTTTGTCTCTTAAGTTTTTTAAACTTTTATATACATCTCTCTCTCGTTCTCTCTCTCTCTCTCTCTCTCTCTCACTCTCTATTTCACTCCTTAATTAATATTATGTATTATGTATTTTTCAGGTTTCTTCTGTTGGGTTTGAATTGACTTACTAGCTAAGAGGGGGTTTAATGTTGTTGCCTTTTGTTTCCCATTTCAAAAATTTATTACATTTGGTGCTGTTATTTTAGCAATATCTTATGTAGATGCACCCTAATTCTTGTCTTAGGGACAAAGTTTCACCTTGGGGCACGGGTTTGAGAGCTCAAGGCCGCTGGTTTTGTTTCTTTACCTTCCTTGGATTCTTATTTACGTTACTTGTTCAATATCTTGAATTCTGTGGTCTGTCTTTCCATTAATGTCTTGCTTTAGTCCACATTATGTAATGATTATCAGGATTTTGAGCAGTTTCTGCAGTTGCCTTGTTTGGTGATTGTTTTTTTTCTCTTATTTCTTTTTAAAATTTTATACAAGTCTCTCTCTCTCTCTCTCTCTCTCTCAATATCTCTGTATTTCACCCCCTAAATTGGTCAGGCATTATGTATTTTTCAGGTTTCGTCTGTTGGGTTTGAATTGACTTACTACCTAAAAAGGGGTTTAATGATGTTTCTTTTTTGTTTCCCATTTCAATTTTTCTACACATTTGGTGCTGTTATTATACCAAATATCTCATGTAGTTGAACCATAATTCTTAGGGACAAAGTTTCACCTAGGTATGGCTGTCTCCAATATATGTATATGGCGGTGTTTCCGCTCGGCAACCCTATTTTGATTCAATCAACAACCAATTCTCACCAGTATGAGAGCTCAAGGCCGCTTGGTTTTGTTTGTTCACCTTCCTTGGTTTCTTATTTTTGTTACTTGTTCAATATTGTGAATTTTGTGGTCAGTTTTCCATCGGTGTCTTGCTTTAGTCCACATTTCGTAGTGATTATCAGGATGTTGAGCAGTTCCTGCAGTTGCCTTGTTTGGTGATTTTTTTTGCAGGAATTTGGTTTTAGAAGTTTACGCCCTAGAACGGAAGTGGAAATAGGTTATTGGGAGAATATGTTGGCGTTTTGGTTTTTGATGAAATTGTTTCATTCTTTACTCGTTCAATGTCCTAAATTATGGGGCGAACATGTTAAATATTTTATACGTCACCCCTAACTTAATATTAGGTATGATGTATGTTTCTTGGTTCTTCTGTTGTGTTTTAATTGACCTACTACCTAAGAGGGGGTTTAATGCTATTCCCTTTTGTTTCCCATTTCAATAATTTATTACATTTGTTCCTGTTATTTTAGCAATATCTTATGTAGATGCACCCTAATTCTTGTCTTAGGGACAAAGTTTCACCTGGGGGCACCGGTGATAGAGCTCAAGGCCACTGGTTTTGTTTGTTCACCTTGTTTCTTACTTTTGTTACTTGTTCAATATTGTTTCTGTGGTTGTCTTTCTGTTGGTGGCTTGTGCAGACTTGCTTTAGTCCGCATTATGGAAGTCTATCAGGATTTTGAGTAGTTCCTGCACTTACCTTGTTTTGTGAATTTTTGCATGAATTTGATTTTGAAGGTTTATGCTGCAGTTAAATGAAAGAAGAAATGGGTTATTTGGGGAATGTGTCGTTGTTTTGTTTTTGGTGAAATTGTTTTATTCTCTGCTCGTTTGATGTCCTAAATTATTGGGAGAACATGTTAAATATTTTTCTCTTATTGTTTTATTTTTTTATATCAAGTATATATATCTCCCTCTATCCCTTAATTAATATTTGGTATTATGTATTTTCAGGTTTCTTCTGTTGGGTTTGAATTGAAATGCTACCTAAGAGGAGGTTTAATGTTGTTGCCTTTTGTTTTACATTTCAAAATTTTATTACATTTGGTGCTTGTTATTTTAGCAATATCTTATGTAGATGAACTGTAATTCTTGTCTTAGGGACAAAGTTTCAACTTGGTGCACGGGTTTGAGTGGAGTTCAAGGCCGCTGGTTTTTATTCACCCTGCTTTGTTTCTTACTTTTCCATAGCCTTCCACTCTTTTGATAGGGTTATATGCTTGCTCCTCTACTCTTTGTCAAAGTGACTTTTTAAACCTCTATTGATACCCAAAAAATCATAAATTCATGTGTCTTTCTCTCCTTTTCCCTATAATCATGCTACGCATTTTGTTCTTCTATTGACAAATACTAAATTGTGATTTAGTTCAATAGTCTGCCTTCTGGTTATGCATCTTGTTCTCTTGGTATGTTCTAATCGGATTTTATGTCTTCAATCTTGGCATATGGGGGAATGTGTTCAAAATCACCATCAATCTTATTTATCTTTTTTTCTTGGTTCGAAGATATAGTATTATGATGTTTTGATTACAGATGCTGAATATGTCTTACTTCCTTCTGTGCTGCCATGTATTTGTTCGATATATGTTGCTTTATGGTCTTTAAGCTATTAGATAATTACCGCCAAACCGTGCTTTAGCTTTTATGTTTTGTCTTTTCTTCCGTTGGTTTATTTCTAAGGTTGTCATTCCATATATTTGGTCTCCCGAATTGTATAGCAGTCTGGTTTGACATTCTCTTTATGATGATTCCCTATTTTCGTGATTGCATTTAAAGTTTATGACATTGTTGTGGGGAGCAGATTCTGGTTTGTTTCTTAACAAGAACATGTCAACTTCCTATTTTAAAATTCTCTCTCTCTCTCTCTCTCAGGTATCTTCAGTGGGGTTCTAAGTGGCATACTAATTAAGAGGCGGTTTAATTCTTCTTTCCTTTTGTTTCCCATCTTTAAGGATTTATAAGATTTGGTGCTGTTATGTAGCAATATCTGAAGTAGATGCATCCTAATTCTTGTCTTAGGGACAAAGTTTTCCTTGGGGCATGGCAATGAATGGAGTAATGGCTGCTGGTTTTGTTTATTCACCCTGCTTGCTTTCTTGTTTCTTTTACATGTTCAATATCGGTGAATTCTGTGGTTGTCTTTCCTTTGATGTCTTATGCGGATGAATCTGTTGCTTTAGTCTGTCTTTATGGAGCTGTGTATCAGGATTTTGAGTAGCTTCTGCAGTTGCCTTATTGACCCTGTTTGGTTTCTTATTTCTGTTACATGTTCAATATCGTGAATTCCGTGGTTGTCTTTCCTTTCATGTCTTATGCAGATGCATCTCTTGCTTTAGTCCGGAGTATCAGGATTTTGATAGCTTCTGCAATTGTTCTGTTTGGTGAATTGTTGCAGGAATTTGGTTTTAAAGCTTTACGTTGCAGTTATTTCTTGGCTTATAATTTAATTTCTTATTTCTTTGATGTCTGGAACCATTTGTTTATGCAGATTGCAAATCTTGTCTTGTCTATGGAAATCTTGCCTAACTATATAAGAGGGGTCTTTTATCCGATCTTTTTTATTCGTACCGTCTGTATAATGTGGGGCACATTGTCTGAGCTATATTTCTGCCTGCAGGCGTATCCTAACTCATGTTTATATATGGAGGTCTCACTTTCTCAATTGAGTTTTAAGAAGGGGTTTGAGTAGTTCTTGGCTTATGATTTTATTTCTTATTTCTTGGTGTTTATGAGGTATGGAACCATTATTTGAGCACTCTTTTATGCAGATGCATCCCAACGCTTGTCGGTTGCTGGAGTCTCACACTGTTGAAAAGAAAAAAGGGGTTTTCTGAGTTATTATCTGATTTTGTATTCTTGGAGCCCGTATGACATCCTAAGACAGGTTTTGCTCAATGTCTTTATATGCAGACCATTACACTTGTCTTCTTGTGGGGTCTGATTCCTTGAAGTAGAACGAGCTGCTTTTAAGAAAGGGTTTGAGTGGTTCTCTGCTTATGATTCAACTTCTTACATGAGCCATTATTTGAGTAATGTTTTCTTTTAGAGTTTGATGCATCTTGTGTATTGGTGAAGAGTTTATAAGATCTGGTACCATTGTTCGAGCAATATTCTATGCAGATGCAGTTTAACTTGCCTGTGTATGGAGTTTTACTTTGTTTAAGGAGAGCAGGGGTGCTACCAAGAATGAATTTCTTCGCCCTATTATTTGATTTGCTGGTCTTAGAGATTTTGCACAACTTATTTGAACAGTGTTTCTATATGCAGACACATACTAACTCTTGTCTTGTAAATGGAGTCCAACATTGTTGACAGAGAAGAGCTTCTTCCAAGAGGGGGTTTCTTGTCTTATTATCTATTTTCTATTTCTGGAGATTGTATGAGATCTTGGGCCATGATTTGCATCATTACTTTCCATTCTATGCAGATCATCTTGTCTGTATATGGGGTCCAACTTTGTTGAAGGAAATCGCTTTTAAGAGGGAGTTGAGTAGTATGGCCTTGTGATTTAATTTCTTCTTGGGTTTATGAGATTCGACACTTTCATTGGGCATTCTTTTGTGCAGATGCATCGTTGCTTTGCTCTGTTTCTGGATCTTTTTTCCTCAGATGGTTGGCTTTGTTGATTTTTGTCTTGTGCTTTAATGTCTCAGTTTTTAAGGAGTTATGAGATGCATCCTTGTTCTTATGTGTGAAAGAGTGTAACTTAATTCATGACTGGACTAATTTCTTAAGGAGGTTATGCTGCGCCTGCGTCTGATCTTTGTTGTGGCTCTCTTTTCGAGGAGGGTTTCAGGAGTTCAATTTCAAGTTAATGTTAATGGCGAAACCTCAGGAACAGGTGTCATGCCGAGTTTTGTTTTCCGTCATGTATTTTATTCAGTATCCTGAACCTTTGAACTTTTGGGCTATTCTTCATTCATTGTCTCATGCAGATGCTCGTTGTTTTAAGTCTTACTAGAGTTGAGTTGATGAGGATGATTTTTCGAGTGACAATCAGAAGTTGTGGCACGGCGCCTGGTTTTTCATATTTGCCTTCTTGTTTTCTTGATACTTACATTTCTTTTCAAATGGTGATATGTTATGGTGTTGTTAGTGTTTTTTGCTGTAGTTCATGGATTTTCCTGTGCAGAAGTTTTGTAGCTCAGAGTCTTGGATCTGCATTGATTCCTTGAGAAACACACTCCACATTTGGTTTCTTATTCATTGTCTTCTTTCATGGGGTTTATACTTCCTGGCTTGATAGTTCAACATATTCGTATGGTGATGGGTTCATTCTTTTCTTTAACTTAATTATCTTCTCTCAAAATTCTGTTCTTTGAATTTCGTGTGGGGCCTCAAGATCCTTAATCTTTTATGACTCTGCGCCTCTCCCATTCATTTCTATATTGTGCTGGTCTTTAATTAATTCACACATTTTAAGGTTTGGCAGATGCTCGTCTTTATTGGTATTGCTGTTTTTGTCTGTTTAAATGTCTGTTTTGTCTGGTTGAAGGTGGATTCAATGCAGTATGTGCAGCTTTGTGCAATACTTTGGCCATTCAGGGTTGGATATTCTTTGGTGCTTCTCTTTTTTTTCTCCTATTCTTTGGCTGTTTCAGAAGGGCACTTGTTAAGATATTTGCTCCTTCATTTGATATTTTATTGATGAGTGTATATAATCTGGCACCACCATTTGAACTCATGCAATGTGTTTGCAGTTGCATCCTAACTTGTCTTTTACTGGAGTCGCACTTTGTCAGAGCCTAGAACATCTCTTTTAAGAGGTGGTTTTATGTTTCTTTGCTTGCGATTTAGTTCTCTGTAGACCTTAAATGTGGCATTTTTGAGCAAATGTATTATGCAAATTCATTTCACATCTTTTTTACTTGATTACATATTAATGGAATGGGTATTCAAGCAAACCAATGGATTTGGTCATGTGTGACAGTCAAGAGGAATGGGAGTTGCCTTTGTAGAGTGTACGTCTTTCCTTTTGGTCTTGTCTTCATTGGAATGTGGACTGCTTTTAGTAGTGTCCTGTGCTTCTTGGCTTACCATTCTTCTTGGATATTTGGTCTGTATATTGTCAGCTTGCTCGTGAGGCTCGGGAGAATGGGGATGCTCTTAAGAGGTGTATGGTACTTCCTGGCTTATGGTTTATTTTTGTTAGATTTTATCAGATATGATTTGAGCAAAGAGTTTTGTGCAGCAACGTTTGTCTCTTAATGGAGTCCTAGGGTTTATAGAAGGAGGGCAGGCTGCTGATTGTTTTAAGAGGGAGTAGGAATGTATCATTGGACTGTAGAGCAGCACTTGCTGACACATAAACTGAGTATGACTTTGATCTTCGTTGATGGAACTATTATTTGAGGGGTCGTGAGATTTGATTTTGTCGTTTACATAGTATCTTATTTCCAATTTGTATCGAAGTTTTATTCATTGATCTCATTTTAGCCGAGGTTTACTCATGTTCAAGTTGACGGGATTGATTTGATTTTTCAGCTGAAGTGGATAGGATGACTTGCTTACATTGTCTTTGGATTTCAGCATTTCGATCTTAAATGAGCTTATCTTCTATGTCTTGCTCAATTTTCCCAGAATATGGGCTGAGGGTAGATCTTTTCCTTTGATTTAATTGCTTCTCTCAAAGTCTCCTTTCATATATATATATATATATATATATATATATTTTTTTTTTTCTCAAGTACAGATGCTAATATTCATATGTACCTTTTCTGGTTTTATAGTGTTGGAGGTGGTGGTTTGTGGTCTGCTGAAGGGTTTGGATTTTGTCTTAAACATAGTGACCTGTTGGCATCTTTGGGTCCGAGTGCCTGGTTTGCTTTTGCTGGTTCTTTTGTTGTGGCATATTACTCTTCTTCTTTTTTCTGGCAGGCTAAAGTTGCTTAAGTTCATGATGGGTCAGTATGTTGGATATTTGAAATTTCTGGTCAGAGTAGTCCATTGTAGAAGGTTGGGTTTTTTAGCTTGAAGTGTGCTGAACTGATCCGTTTAGGTTACACATGGTGTATGCTTTGGTGTATCATTTAATTTGTTTCCCGTAAGAGATAAGATTTGATACCTGTTTTATGTGGACAGTCTTCCTGAAGAAGTGGGTTTGTTAGAGGTGGAGAAGTGCAGGTCTTTAAAAGGGGTTGTTTAACAAGTTAACAATCTGGCATAATTATATGGGTCGTGTTTTAAGCAGAAGCAATCTCATTCTTTCAGTGCTCCGTCTCAGATTCAAGTTTATGCGCAGAGCTGATAGAACTGTTTTTTAAACTGCTCATGGAAATAGATGGGGTATGACATGCGTTGTTTCCCTTTCCTGTCTTCTTAGTTTCGTGAGCTGATAGCACTTTTTTCTATAATTGTTCCTTATATAGCTTTTGTGTTCATTTGGGTGGCCTGATAGGATCTGTTGTTCTTTTCTTCATTTGGTGCTGCTTATGTGTAGTCCAACTTATTGAACATTGCAATCTGACACTGTTTCTATGATCAGTTTGACATTTTAAAAGGTTTTGAGTATTGATTAAATTGTTCATTGTTGGTATCATATTAGACATTTTGAACTTTGATGTGTTTTTTATACTTACGCCCATATTAGTTGCTGGGTGTGTTTCTTTTATTGGTTTAGTTGCTGGTTATGTTTCTTTTATTGGTTTAATAATGCAGTGGTTGAGTGTCATTCGACTATTCCCAGCTGCTTGCTAATAATACAGGTCCTTTTTTTAGAACTAATGTGAATGTGAGTCGTGCTTTTATGTATGCATAGCTTACTTTGGATCCTGCGAAAACCTACAATATAACAATGAACAAATGTGCTATAGCTGCATTTTAAGCTCGTGAAGTGTGGAAGGGATGATAGGGATGAGGTCCTCTGAGAGAGTGCATTACATGTAATACTTATCTCTAATTTATGACTAAGTAATGAACTTACAAAGAGAACATGTTATGTATTGAAAGAATGTAGTCCTGGTTTGTCATTTTGGAATGAGCCATTTACTTAGATTGCTTATTGTGGGAGAGAATTTTTGTTTTGCTTTTGTTAAAGGAGATTTCTAAACCATGCCATTTCTCTTGAAGTAGTTTTTCTTTTTGGATATTTGAAGTATATTTGTTATATCGAAGTTGCTTGGTTTTTGCATATATGGTCGGAGTTTTTGAAGTTCTTTGGACATTTGAATATGAGATTTTGTTATGTTGAACAATTGTGTAATGTCAACTTCTTGGTAGCTTTTTCTCTTTTAGATTTGTTTGGCTTTTAGTATGATGGTTATGTTATGTGCATTGCTTTGTCTTTAGCTGCTATCTGTTGTGTGTATTTGTGTATAGTTAGTTAGGTTTAAAGGGATGTAGCTCAAAATGGTAGAGCTCTCAGCTTGTAACCTTTATGAACAAGTTACAAGACTTTCGAGAAGATCAAGGTTCGAATCCTTGCATCCCTGCATATTAACATATTTGATAGTTTATGACCTGCCTGTGGATGGATTGAAAGAATCTAAACCCTTGCCTGTGTATCTGTGGTTGCCGTTGATGTGCGGATGCCGTTGGTATCCCACTAAAATGGTGGTTTGGATGATCTGTGGACTTAAGAACCTGAATTGGCTGATTTTCCGGTTTACCACAAGATGTGGTTTATTATGTAAAAGCTTCAGAAAGCTCAAGTTTGTAATACGAATTATTTTATCTTCAAACTTGTTTGACGAGATATCACTGTCTTTATGTCTCTTGATCTTCTCATTTATTCATCTCATACACTTTCTCACGTACACCTTCACATTTGTATCAAAAAGGAAACAAAATTACCTAAGAGACAAATTTTCAATCTAATAAAAAATTATATAGAAAATGAAATAATGACTTTATACATCACACAAACAGAGATGTATTTTCTCTTTTCCTGAATTTGATCTATGAATGATGAAGTAGCCGCAGTGAAAAACATGGCTGACTTTAGACTCCGGCTCTAATGTTTCTCTTTTAAGCATATATGATTATTCTTATTCAATATATATTTTTAATTTTTAGCAGATAACTTTCTTTAATGATCGGTGTAGCTTTTCTCTAGATTAAAGATTTCACCAGTACATCACCCATCCGAGAAAGATTTCCACGACTTTACAATTTTGTCCTGGTTAATTTGTAATTTTTTTAGAGTGGTGCTAAATGAACCCTAAAATTAACTGAGTACACCATACTATCAAACTATTTATTGAATTACTAATTTATACTAATATAAAATTACCAAAAAGGATATTTTGAATTATGAAATTAATGTAATTTTAATAAGTACACCCTACTCACCATATTCAACTCTAATAAAACATAAATGAAAAACCCTACTCCAAAAACTCTGTTATTTCCTTTTATTGACAATAAAAAGATTAAAAAACCTCCAAATACCAAGCGAGTTCATACGTGCTTACTTGGAATTGAAACTGGAATTCGGTAATTGTGTATTGAAATTCTAAAAAATTGAAGAAACCCAATTCAATTTAGGTGAAAACTTAAAAAACCTCCAAATACCAAGCGAGTTCATACGTGCTTACTTGGAATTGAAACTGGAATTCGGTAATTGTGTATTGAAATTCTAAAAAATTGAAGAAACCCAATTCAATTTGGGTGAAAACTAAGAAAATAAAGATTGAAACTTTTGGGATTTGAGTTGAAGAATCTGCTTAACTGGGAAAAATAGATAGAAACCCTATTCCATTATGTGGTTGAGCGAGGTACATGGGCTAATTCATTCAAACTCGAATCAGGGAAAGTGATGCAGAGAGAATTCAAATATAAGGAAAATTAAAAGATAAAACTTAGGAAGGCACACTGATCATACAAAGATAGGATTTCCCAGGGGTATCCCAACAAGGTCATCATGATACATGCATCCCTAAATTGAACTTTTTATCTTTGTTTTTTTCCGTTCTAATTTAAGACCCGGTAAACATCATTTATTCAATTAAAGAACCACATGGCAATGGCGTATAATAAATCAAAGAGAAAACAAGGGCCTTTATGCTGCCTTTGAATCAAAGCTTCTCAGCCATGATATCCGAATAATTTAGTATGCCAATTGACCTTGATGAATGTTGTTACCAGATTCGAATGGGTTTGCTGCTGTGTGATAGAGTAGATTAGGATGTATCCGGGGTATTTTTGGTAATTAAATATGGTGTACTTAGTTAATTTTACATTTTGATTTAAATATTAGGGTGTGCTTAGATCATAGGGTGTACTCAGTTAATTTTAGGGTTCGTTTAGCAGCACTCTTTTTTTAAGGGCTAACGTCAAAAGACTCCATGAAAGTTTGGAGTCATTCTCAGTATGGGCCCTCGAGTTTAAATTTTATCAATTTACACCTGATGATTTTCAAATTTGATCAATTTAAGCCATTAATTAAGTTGACAGTTTGATCAGACATTAACTGATGATGTGTCCACTGTAGGACCCACCAATTTCTTAAAAAAAAATAATAAATTAATTATATAATATAATAAAATAACATTAAAAAAAATCTTTATTTTAAAAAAATTATATAAATAAAAAACCTTCCTCTTTTCATCCCTCCCTTTCTCTCCGTCTCCCTTTTCCTCCTAGCTCTCCCATCCCATCCCCCCTACCCCTCCGACGAGTCTAGCCACCCACACCTCCTCTCCTCTTTGAATTTTTTTCCAAGAGGCACCAGATGCACTCCTATATCTAAAACAAAAGCAGCCAAATTTATCATCACCATCACTAAAAGCATAACAACTACATTGCAACATTGTTCACCATATACAATAGTCAAGCATAAAAAATTTAGCTCTTACTACCCAAAAGCCAAACAAAAGTCGTAAGCAATTCCAGTTGATCCCATTGGCATTAGACTCTCTTAGTAAAAAAGAAACAAATTTCAAATTCAAAAACAAAAGTTGCAAACTTGCATGACACAAATCACTTACGCTTAGTGAAAATTCTCAATTGAGAGAGACCTAGATGTGAAAAAGCAGAGAACTATCGAAACAACACAAACCCAATAAGAAATCTCCATGGAAGAAACACCACTGCTAAGAATTGGGAGGTTGAACTAGTTATTAGGTGACAGGAGTATAATTATTTACGGAATTGGTGGGTAGATGGCGGAGCTATGCTTCGGTGAGGATGTGTGATTCGTCAGAAGGGGAGGGGGGATGGGGTGGGAGAGTTGGGAGGAGAAGCGGGACAAAGAGAAATGGAGGGACGAAGAGAGGAAGTTAAATTTTTTTTTTTTTATAAAGATTTTTTATAAAGTTATTTTATTATATTATATTATTAATTTTTTAATTTTTTAAAAGAATTGATGGGTCCTATAGTGGGCACGTCATCAGTTAACGTCTGACCAAATGGTCAACTTAACAGAAGGCTTAAATTGGTCAAATTTAAAAATCTTTGGGTGTAAATTGATGAAATTGAAACTCAATGGGTCATATTGAGAATGACCCCAAACCTTCAGCTTCAGGGAGTCTTTTGACATTATCCCTTTTTTTAAAGAGACAAATTTAAAAGAGGGATTTACTATTATACCCAAATAGGAGCCCAAATTACTATTATGTCCATATGAAATGGACTTTAGAAACACATGCAAAACACCATTTACAACATAAGAAAGGGGCTTTGAACTTCTTATAAATTAAAAAACTGCCATCGATTTCTTAAAACAAGCTCAACCCCAAAATCTTATAAAAAAAAACCCAAAATACTTGACACAGAATCAAAGTAATTTAATAATCAAAATTAAATTCAATGGGGTCAGTTATCCTATTTGTGATAAACCGATCCTAAATTAATATTAAATTGTTAAATTATTCAAGTAAAATACAATTTTACCCCGAGAATATTTTAATGGGCTTACAGTTGACTTTTTATTTTGAAAAGATTTTGGGGACGTGAATGACACCATGACGTAGATTGCGTCGAGATGAGTCCGTAGACATGTAGTGGGCTCAATTGGAGTTGTAACGAAGAAGTTACGCGACATCCCCACCTCCCGATTGTATAGCAGTGACGGTTATTCCTTCGCCGCCACCACCTCCGACCACCACTCAGGCCGGGACCAGTCCCAAAACAACCAGGCCACTTCCCTCTACCCATCCCGACCCTTCACTGCTGCTACAACCGCCTGTGCTCGCCGGAATATCTAGAAAAGTCGCCGATTTTACCCAAAACTTCCCACGTTCGTTCGGACGATTTCGGCCACCAATTGCTTCGATCTAGGTATGCTTTTTCATCCTCTCAATGTGTTCTAGCTGATGGTTAGATTGAATAGGATCAATTTCTACGTTTTGAAACTCAAATTATCGCTTAAAGTTTCAGTCGGGTTGGTTCGTATTTCCGACAAGTTTTGGTCATTTTTTGACCATGGTCCAAGAACAAAAGTTGCTCCACTTATTGTTTTGATTAAGTAGGTATAGGTCTTGACCGGTGGTTTGGAGATTTTCCGATCGCCGGAATCGCTTTGGACACCCACACGCTGATAGCGCAAGTGGCAGCGCGTGGGCCACTGTCGATCGGATATTGCATATTGGGTGTTATCCGGGTTCGATATGTTCAAACTGTTGGATCGGCTCCATTTTCAAATATGTTGATATGGGCACCTCTAGAATTGTCTTGGAATTCACGAATCGAGAATCGGAGCATCCGGGACTCCGATTCAATAATTCAATATTGCTCCGATTCAATAATTCAAAGATTTTTATAACGGTGCCGGGTGACCGTCTGATCGTGAACGATCCGACCGCTCGATCTGGACCAAACTTGCAAGGCGTGTTTAGTAAATTTTGTTGAACCTATAGGAACTCTCGGATTATTAATTGAAGGTTGTAGGCCCCACAGGGGGACCGGGTTGACCAATATGAGAATTTAATCGCATATTTAATCTCGGGTCTTTTCAGACCATTCCAACTATCAAAATTATTGAAAATGGGCCTAGGAACCTTCTTACGTTATGCACCCGCACTTTTAAGACCGGGGTCAAGGTTTTGTTTAAGTATTTGTGGTTGAGCTACTTTATTAATTAAATGTTTATGAGTTATTATGTAATTACTTTTACTTTTTGAGTATTTTATATTATGTTTAGTTGTGAAGAGTTGGAATTGGTTTGTTAATCAGATTTTGGGCGTGATTAATAAATTAATTAAATATATAAGTATATGT